TGACCTCCATCAACAAATCTAAAGACACTGCAGCTTAGCTTTAAGCTCTAATATAGGTTCATTAAAATATATATCTACTGTCATGAATAAAGCTACTGTTTACAGAAAGAAAGAAAGAAAAAGAAAGAAAGAAAGAAAAAGAATGAAGCAATTAATTAAACATACATGGAAAACTAAAAAAACTAATAATAAATTGATAAATGGAGCATCCTGCAAATAACTGACTAACTGACAAACCAACCAATTAACAATCTAACTAAATCAATAAATAACAAAACAAACAAATAAATAAATAGATCATCCTGTAAACTAACTCAATAACTAACTAACCAACTAAAATAAAATAAATAACTAGTAAATTAAATAGAAATAACTAAAACTAACTAACTAAACTAACTAACTAAATAAATAGAGCATCCAGTAAAGTAACCAGCTAAAATTAAATAACTAGTGAATTAAATAGAACAAACTAAAACACAATAACTAACCAACTAACATAAAACAACTAACTAGAGAATTAAATAGAAATAACTAAAACTAACTAACTAAATAAATAAATAAACAGAGCATTTTGTGAACTAACTAACTAACTAACTAACTAACTAACGAACTACATACATACATACATACATACATACATCATCTAAACCGTTTATCCTTCTGGGTCGCGGTGGGGTGCTGGAGCCTATCCCAGCTGTCATTGGGCAGAACTAACGAACTAAGTAATGTAAAAATAACAAACTAACAAATTAAATAAAAACAACCAACCAACCAACCAACTAATGAAGGAAGTAAATAAACAATGCACCCAGCAAAATAACTGACTAACTAAAGAACTAACTAACTAAAGAAATAAATAAATGATGCAATAAACTAATGTAAAATAACTTAGTAACAAAAATAATTAAATAAAACTAATCAACTAAAACACAATAACTAACCAACTAACATCAAAATTAACTAACTAGTAAATTAAATAGAATTAACTAAAAACTTGAAATAATCTAAAAGTGATCTAAATAAATAACTAAGCAAAATAACTAAATGCCTAAAGAAATAAATAAACAGTGCATCCAGCAAAATAACTAACTAATGAAATAAAATAACTAATTAACTTACTAACCAACTAAGTAAATAAATAAATAAACAAACAGAGCAGCCTGCAAAATAACTGAAAATCTCACTAACTGACCAACTAACCAATTAATGATATAAGACTAGCTAATTAACTAATTAAATTACTAACTAACTCGTAAAATAAATGAATAAACAGAGCATCCTGCAAAATAATTCTGACTCTCTTGCTCACTCACTATCAAACTATCTAACTAACTCACTAACTAGCTGACTCACTCTCTCACTCACTATCAAACTAACTAACTAACCCACTAACTAGTTAACTCACTCTTACTCACTCACTCACTATCAAACTAACTAACTAACTAACCCACTAACTAGCTAACTCACTCTCTTACTCACTCACTATCAAACTAACTCAGTAACTAACTAAATAGCTTACTCACTCTCTTACTCACTCACTAACTATCAAACTAACTATCAAACTAACTCACTAACTAACTAACTCACTCTCTTACTCACTCACTAACTATCAAACTAACTATCTAACTAACTCACTAACTAGCTAACTCACTCTCTTACTCACTCACTATCAAACTAACTATCGAACTAACTAACTCACAAACTAGCTAACCCACTCTCTTACTCACTCACTATCAAACTAACTATCTATCTAACTAACTCACTATCTATCTAACTCACTCTCTTACTCACTCACTAACTATCAAACTAACTATCTAACTAACTAACTCACAAACTAGCTAACCCACTCTCTTACTCACTCACTAACTATCAAACTAACTATCTAACTAACTAACTCACTAACTAGCTAACCCACTGTCTTACTCACTCACTAACTATCAAACTAACTATCTAACTAACCCACTAACTAGCTAACTCACTCTCTTACTCACTCACTCACTCACTATCAAACTAACTATCTAACTAACTCACTAACTAACTAACTAGCTAACTCACTCTCTTACTCACTCACTAACTATCAAACTAACTATCTAACTAACTAACTCACTAACTAGCTAACCCACTCTCTTACTCACTCACTATCAAACTAACTATCGAACTAACTAACTAGCTAACTCACTCTCTTACTCACTCACTAACTATCAAACTATCAAACTAACTCACTAACTAACTAACTCACTCTCTTACTCACTCACTAACTATCAAACTATCTAACTAACTAACTCACTAACTAGCTAACCCACTCTCTTACTCACTCACTAACTATCAAACTAACTAACTAACTAACTAACTCACTAACTCACTCTCTTACTCACTCACTATCAAACTAACTATCTAACTAACTAACTCACTAACTAGCTAACCCACTCTCTTACTCACTCACTAACTATCAAACTATCTAACTAACTAACTCACTAACTAGCTAACCCACTCTCTTACTCACTCACTAACTATCAAACTAACTATCGAACTAACTAACTCACTAACTAGCTAACTCACTCTCTGACTCACTCACTATCAAACTAACTATCTAACTAACTCACTAACTAGCTAACTCACTCTCTGACTCACTCACTAACTATCTAACTAACTAACTAACTATCTAACTAACTAACTCACTAACTAGCTGACTCACTCTCTTACTCACTCACTATCAAACTATCTAATTAACTAACTCACTAACTAGCTAACTCACTAACTAGCTGACTCACTCTCTGACTCACTCACTAACTATCTAACTAACTCACTAACTATCAAACTAACTAACTCACTAACTAGCTGACTCACTCTCTTACTCACTCACTAACTATCAAACTATCTAACTAACTAACTCACTAACTAGCTAACTCACTAACTAGCTAACTCACTCTCTGACTCACTCACTAACTATCTAACTAACTCACTAACTATCAAACTAACTAACTCACTAACTAGCTGACTCACTCTCTTACTCACTCACTAACTATCAAACTATCTAACTAACTAACTCACTAACTAGCTAACTCACTCTCTGACTCACTCAGTAACTATCTAACTAACTAACTAACTATCTAACTAACTAACTCACTAACTAGCTGACTCACTCTCTTACTCACTCACTAACTATCAAACTATCAAACTAACTAACTCACTAACTAGCTAACTCACTCTCTAACTCACTCACTAACTATCAAACTATCTAACTAACTAACTCACTAACTCACTAACTAACTAACTCATTCTGTTACTCACTCTAACACAATAAATAATAAAGTCCTGATATAAACGGTTCACCCTGTAAAAAAAATAAATATATATATATATATTTTTTTTTCAGGCTGAATAAATAAATGAAGCTCCCTAACATCATGTAGCATTGATTTACAGCACGCTAAAAGACTAAATGTTCTGTTGTGGCAGAAAGCCAGTGCTCTGAAAAGCCGCCCTAATTGATTGATTGATTAACCAAGGAGCATGTGCACTAAACAAACATGTTGTGACCTTGCAGCGTTAGAGCTGTCCGTTATTGACCACTGGCTTCACCAACAAGGTTAAAAATGTCCCCCAGTCTTGAAATGAAATGACAGAAGAGCAAGTTGTGCAAAAATTTGACTTTTACGTAAACATCTAAATGAAGCATATAAATGGCACTGATGATCGAGCACTGGTGTCTCAAAGTGTCCACCACTTTCTCTAAACATAACAAAATATAATAAGTATAATTACAACTATAAAGGAATTTGGATAACAGATGCTAACAATAAAAGATGCTACATTTTAACCAAAGATAAATAAGAAAATAGATAATTAATGCACTTAATGTACTTTTAAGAAATGCTAATATAAGGAAAATAATAATGTCAAAGTTTTAAGAGGTTAATGGATCATTCCAGAATAAATGCTTGTAAAAATGATTGAGTCTTAAACTTTGAGCCTTCAGTTATCCTCCTACAGCCAACTTCATAGCAGCTGGTGTGAGGTTGAGGCTTGGAAAGGTCAATTAGAGAGTCATCTAGGATCTGATATTTGGTTCTAAATTTGTACACTCTTTTAAAAAGGATGCCAAAAAGGCGGTGTCGTTCAGAGGCTGGCTCTTTGGAGAAACATGTTCATAAATGTGAATTAAGTTTACAGAATCTCTACATAATCAAAAGAAGAACCGTTAAATGAGACCCGTTATGTTATGTGAAAGTTCTTAGAACTTTAAAAGATCTTTCACACTCTCAAATCTCTTTACCATACTTGGTTCTTTAGGGTACCAAACATGATTCTTCTATGGCAGTTCTTAACCGTCTTTCGCACACTTGATGACAGCAATGTTAAAAAAATACTTTGTTCACTTTTCTTACATAAAATGAACCTGACTATTAAAATCTACATGAAAAAAAAAACAAAAAACATGCGTGAGTCCTTTGGGGGGGGGTGCGTTGCCTTAAGGCAACATGGTGCAACAATGTAAAGAAGTTATACAGAGCATTATAAGAAACAGAATTTTTTTATCTAAATATTTAAAATGAAACTCGGTTACTAAACAATTTCTTGAATATTAAATACAAAAAATACTAAAATAAAATCTTTTTCATTTTATTTTCAAAGAAAACACAAAACCAAAATGAAACTTAAAGTAAAGTTTCCAAAAAGAGGTTTAAAAATGTCCAACAAGAGGAAGCATGACCAAGTACACATTTTTATTGGTTTATTCAAATTCTTCCCCTCATTATCCTTCATTATTAGCATTCTGCTGTCCTTAATATGTATCATATCACTGTAAAGTGAAGAAAATGGGTTTGTTGCCCTGAGGCAACATTATGCAATAGAGGGCTAAAGAACCCTTTTGGCACTTTTTTTCAAGAGTGTTCTCTTATTACCCTGAGATGCTGGATTAAGTTGGATCATCTGTTTGTTGAACCCAAAAGTACATTAGACTCAATATTACATAACCGTCTGTGTGTGTTTAACAGCTGGTGGCCAACACGGTGCTCTTCACCAGCGTAAACCTGTCTGGTCTTTTCGTGCGGATCCTGACGGAGCGCGCTCAGAGGAAGGCCTTTCTGCAGGCGCGGAACTGCATCGAGGAGCGACTGCGCATGGAGGACGAGAATGAGAAACAGGTAACACCGTCAACCTCAGAGCAGCTTTACTGTCTTATCCTGAAATAAAACAAACTCCGCGATTATAGATTACACATTTACACAATGTGGTAACTTGAACAGACAAGATGTTTTTGGTGTCTAAAATTTGCTTCTTTAGTTTTGCACTAAAACTCTGAGACTAATGCAGCAAACAACTAAAGACAGATTACAGCCTCCAGTCAGCACAGTGCAAACTGCATATCTAAATCATCTAAATCATCTCAGAAAATGGGGAATCGTTAAGTAATTTCACAAAGACTTGCTTATATGGCTTGTTCTAAAGAACTGGTTTAAAGCCTAAGTTGAGAAACATGTTACACACTTTTAACTGACTTGGATTGTGGACTAAAATCCTTTCCTTTGAGTGACCCTGTGCCTTAATTATGTTTATTTTATTAAAATTAGTGAGTGAACATGCCATTTTGTCACTAACAAAACAATCTTAACACTACCGAAACTGTGGCAAATGTTTCAGTAGTGATTGTTTCCTTACTGACCGTTTTAGCTCAGCTCAATCACTGAGATGTAAACAGAGTCATTCAGAGTGGTTTGGTTTGAAATGATTCATTGTAGAGACTCAGATTTCTTTATAGTGGTGGTGATAGGAACCAGGGGTCACCATGACTACAACACAGATATAGCCATTTTATGTACTATCAAAACTACCAGTGAAACTATATGTGTCTTCTGAGTTTTATATGTAATGCTGATGATGATAAAATAGTGATAAATCTGAACAAAATAAGTTTTTTGAGGACTAGTTTGTCTCACAACACCCTGCATGTACCTCTCAACCATGAATGGATTTAAAAAATACATTTTAGTCCAAAGCCTCATCTCAAAACTATAATAACAGTCTCGGACATCAGTCGGCATATTCATAACTATTTCATGTAATAATGTCCATGATGGACCTCTTAGAGACATTAAACTCTTCAGACGTCTGGTTCCTATCACTACCACTGTGAACCATTCTGACTTAAACAGAGCATTCCACATCAAACTGCTTTAAATGACTCTGTTTACATCTTAACCATTTAATTATGCAAACAATTTTTTAATCCATTGGAATTCCCTTCCAGTGGTGGTACACTAAAATGAATCTGATTCAGTTGCATCAGTTTTAAAATGTTAGAGTTTATAATTAATTACAATAATATAATATTATTATTATATATTATCAAATATAAAAATAAAATGTAAAAACCTTTGTGTTTTGTGTTTATTGTTCATATTGTTCATCGCTCATACCAATTCAGATCAAACTGATGTAACATGAGATGTTTATCTCTTCTTTCTCTCCCTTTTATCTGTGCTTTAATGAGATTTTCACCTTTCTCTTTCCAACACATTACAAAAAATGCAACACCTTCACACGCACACACTTGTAGGAGCGGCTGCTGATGAGCCTGTTGCCCAGGAACGTGGCGATGGAGATGAAGGAAGACTTCCTGAAGCCTCCTGAAAGGATCTTCCACAAAATTTACATCCAGCGCCATGACAACGTCAGGTAGGCCGCTCCGCCATTTCTGCCTTTGAGCTTTGCTGTGACCTCGTTCAGGAAGGTCATGGGAAGTCCTCAGAAGAGATTTATCGAGCTTCTGCAGGAGCTTTTTGTCAAAGCTGCCAGCGAGCGTCTTCCTAGATAGATCATGGCGCTGTTTTTCTCAAATACTTACTGTATCTGTTGAAATGTCAGCAGAGTTTTCACAGCAGGCACACCAACCTGGTCAAAGTGGTTCATTCATATACAAACTTAAGGCATATACAAACTTTATCTAATCACAAAATATTTTAATGAATGATGACATATTTTCAGTTTGTTAAACTCGTTCCTTGGTTCGTTGTTTTGAATAAATTTGACATACTGATATATTGATCTCTGAAACATTAACAAGAAAGTTGGTCCCACTTTATATTAAGTGTCTCTAATATCTGTGTGGTTACACATGAATAACATATGCAACAACAGTGTAACTATTGATGATTTAGTCAGTGTTACAAATGGATTACAGAAGTACAACCTATGTAATTACACATGTGTATCAACTTCAATTTTGCCTCATGTAATTACACAAGTGTATCTTTTTGATACACTACAGATCAGAAGTCTTTTCCAGCAGTAAAAAGAAGTAACATTACATTTACCTTTTACATAATTACTGTGGAATAACTGTGTTGTAACAAGGTAACCTAATCAATCACATTGAATAATGCCATTCAGTAATTACACTGTAGCTACATAACAACTGCACAGGAACTTTCCTGTAGTGTTAAAGTTACACTGTTCCAGTCTGATTACAAATGTAATTACATTTATGTTACTACCCTTGTGTAATTACATGAGAGAGAATAGGCTGTTACAACTATTAAGAGACACTTGTGTAATTACATGAGGCAAAACTGAAGTTGATACGCCTGAGTAATTACATAAGCTGTACTACTGTAATCCATCTGTAACAGAGCAGAGACTAAATCATTAGTAGTTACATTGTTGTTGCATATGTTGTTCACATGTAACTACACAGTTATTAGACACACTTAATAGAAAGTGGGACCAGATAGTTTAGCACTGCCAGTGTGAGCTTACATTTCTTCAGCTGCACTGAAATTTGCTTTTGAATCGAGGAGCTTTGAGTGCTTTGAGGTATTTATAGACAATTAGGTGCAAAAAAATGTAGTTTTGGAAATCTTAGATGGTTCGAGGATTGAACAGCTGAGAAAACCGAGGTGGAGAATGATTCAGCCTGCATGGAGCCATTTGGAAGAGTTTGACATCTGACTGTTTGCACTTATAACACAATGTATCTGGAGGAGATTTGACAAATGTTGCAGTGAGATTTATCAAAGCTGCATTAGAAGCTCTGTTTTACCACCTACCAGGTGCAGATGTTCACAGTAGGAGTCTTCACAGGTATGAAATTGAAGCTCGAACTCGACCTGCACTCATGACTTTGAGACCTAGTGCGACCCGGCTCGACTGGTGCTGCTAAATTTGAAACCCGGCCCCGACCTGAACCCACCTGCACACACTAACAGAGATGGATTATCACAGACACGAGTTTACAGAGCTTCGCTGTGTTACTAAGGGCTTGAGCTGACCGCCAGAAAATGTCATCTTGGGATAAACTGGTATTTCAGAAATCTGTAATACACTAACAGTATTTATCATCAGCATGTTTTGTGGAATTGTTGATCAGACCTGTCAGAGAACATCACACATCCTCCTCTGATCAACTGTTAGCCCCTCTGCGCTAAAGGTCCTGTGACTGATGTACTGTTTTTAATTTTCATTACCGCTTTAGCTATAGACTATGACATCACTAGAGTAGTCATATTTCTTCAAATAAAAAATATCACTCGTTAGAAAACGAACCCGAGGCTGACTCAACCTTGAAGTTGTACGTGACAAATTGCTCCAGCCCAGCTCGAAACCTGATATTGTGTCAAGTTGGGTGGCAGACCTTTAATTCATAGTTGAGAGATGAATGGACTAGCAGTGCTGTAGGCCTGATTCTACTGTCCATAAATGGTCAGAGTGTGTAGAATTACACCTACAGAGTGCCTTTGGTACCAACACAGTGGACAGTGTAGAGCAGGGGTCCTCAAGTACATGCACATAGTCATAGTAGGGCTTCAGGAAATTCGAATTTGAATTAAATTACATTTGTAGGGCTCCCCGAGTGGTGCACCCATCAAAACATTTTCTGTACTAAAGAACCTTTGAAGAAACATCATTTTTAAGAGTGTAGCTGGCTGTATTAGCCTTAACTGATAGTTAGGGGTAAATAAAAGCAACATGCCGTTAAACCAGCCAGCTTATTTTACACCATCTGTATTTTCTTGGTATCAAACTAACAATGTAGGCTCATAAACATTAGCATTTCAGTGATTATGCTTGAAAACACCTGGAAAATGCTCATGGAAGACCACTACAGTGGTCAAAATGTGATGTTATTATAGTCTATTTAAGACCATATTAAGCAATGATAAACAGCTCTTTGCTAAAACTGCTGTGCAGACCACTGGTTTAGTGTTTTTGTGCTCTAACCACCCTGATTCACTGCATTTGCGGAATATCAGCCCATTCCTGAGTTGAATCAAGTGTCTCAGAAGTCAAACGTAATATGTGAGTTATGGTTGTAGTTCTCTCAAGTGGAGCTTTGATGATTGTGGGAATCGTGGTCTTATTTAGAAGTGTCCACACCTCTGCTCGCACATGAACCAGCTGCAATACAAGGTGCAGCTAGTGCTATAAAATATTTCACAGCAAACAATATCATGGCTTTCAGTTCATTTAAACCAATTGAAAAGTTAAGTGACCCTTATTAGTCCCACAACGGGGAAATTTCACCTCTGCATTTTAACCCATCCATGCAGTGAAACACCACATACACACTAGTGAACACACACACTAGGGGGCAGTGAGCACACTTTCTCAGAGTGGTGGGCAGCCCTATCCACAGCGCCCGGGGGTTAGGTGTCTTGATCAAGGGCACTTCAGTCACATACTGTTGGCTCAGGGGATCGTTCACAAGGCTGGTTCCCTAACCTCAAGCCCATGACTGCCCCCTAAAAAAATATACATTACCTGCTCTGTTTCCAACCTGGGCTGGTTCACCCCTCCTTAGGTGACCTGGTGGTCCCGAGCTCCCTCAGCAAAGGGCCAGCATATCTTTTTGTATTCTTTTTGTTTGCCAGATCTTGGAGTCAGTTTCTTGGCTTGCAGTTTATTTAAACCAATCGAATAAGATGGTCAGCATATCTTCTAGTGCTTCTTTTTATCCCATTGTTTCCTCTAGTTTAGTTGAGGTCAGTTTCACCTGCTAGCTAATTCTCCCCCTCTCAAATAATACTACCAAGCTGTGAGGCTGAAGGCTTCCTCTTAGACACAAGAAGCACCACTACATCTTTCCAAACTGGTGCTGATGCAATGTCATTGGACAGCTCAGCACGCTTGGAGGAGAACACTAACAGCCAATTGTGTTACATCAGCAATGTTGGCTGGCATCATGTGGTGGGGGGAGAGGGAGTGCAATGTATTACCCAGTGAGAGAGTGAGGGCTGTTAAGCTGTCTCGGCACAGATGGCTGTAACATCACTGGGAATCAAACTTGCGATCTCCCAATGATTGGGCCAATGCTTTCTTGCACCACTCGGGAATCCATCTTCTAATATTCTGATGGCATGAAAATGGACTGAATGTAGCCTCAAATACATTCAGTCCATCAATGTACATCTGTGCAAATAGTGCCAATCATCTTATTTTGACCCAAATTGTGATCAGAAACAACAATCCCACCATGATCCAGCATGAATATGTATGAAATGTAATGTAATTTAGTGGAGGCACAGCTGTGTTGCTTTCCACTGTGCAGTACTTTAAACAGATTTTGGTCATTGTAATGCAATCATAACAGTCAAAACAGTGAACACATGACTACTTTTCTACAGAATATGTGCCAAAATGAGAAGCAAAACTTCTATTACACTGTTTTTATGTCTCTTGACCTCTTTATTGTAAACGTCCCTCATTCAATTGTAACCAAAACAGTGAAATGCAAAGCACACATGAGATTGTGTTTAAACACTAACATGAGGAAAATGTGCCGAAATGAAAAGTTAAAAGATCCATTTCATTGATTTATCGTTAAGTACTACACAGTGAAAAGCAGTACAGCTGTGACTTTATTACATTTCATGTTGGATTGTATTCAATTCTAACACAAATTCTGCATTTCGGTTATAAAATGCAAAAATGTTTTTCAGTAAGGAAGTCAAGCGACATGAAAACAATATAATAGAGGGTTTGTTTTTCATTTTGGAAAGTTTTCTGTTTATCACTATGTATGGAAAGGTAACGTCATATGTCATGTGTTCATTGCACTTCAGATTTTTCACTGTAGTGACTGCTTAAAGCTTTTGAAAAGTTTGGATGGTCACTAAATCATTCATACAGGGAGCAGCGAAATACTAAAAACTAGACACCAACAATTATAACCAATGGTTTATTCACAATGTAAAGTGTTTTGGCAACAACAATGCATTATGACATGGGAAAAATAGCATAAGCCATTAAATAATAAACTTCTAATTATTTATAGTCTTTTTATGTATAAAATTACTAAGAAAAGCTATTTGATCAGTGAGATTTGGTCACCAGTTTTCATGAGGTGTTCTGAGTATGCATTTTATTATAAGTTAATTCTGTATGCTATGCAGCTTTCTCAGTTCTTATGGACTCTACAACTCTGTTCATCATCAAAATGTTCTTAATTTAACTTGTACAGCTTCCTTGCTTGAAACCTAAAGAATATAATCATATTAGAATTATTTTATATTATTATTATTATTAATTTATTATATATATATATATATATATATATATATATATATATGCAATGTAATTGTTTTTACATGATCAAAATCAGATTTTGAACACTACTGAATAACATATACATAACAGTATGTGCCAGCGTATGCCGGAGGCTGCATTCATTTTCATTTAAT